ACTTAAACTCCACTTGAGGGAGCAACTCAGAGAGGGTAATCCACCTTGTTGTGTGGATGCTGTAAAGCATACACACTATGCTCGCCTGTTCTTTATTGTGTGGATGCTGTAAAGCATCCTTACTATGCTCTTCTGTTCTTTATTTATTATTATTGTGTGGATGCTGTAAAGCTGTAAAGCATCCACACTGCTCTTCTGTTCTTTATTTATTATTATTATTGTGTGGATGTGAAGCAACCACACTGTTATCCTGTTCTTTATTATTATTATTATTCGTACATTTTTCGGCACTTAATTCCTTCAGCATACTTTCAGTTACAAAAGCCATTGAGGCATCAAAATGTTCAACTCTTTAACCCTATAAAACCATTTGTATCATATTTGATACGTGAGGTTTCTGAGCAAAAAAAAAAAAATCGCCAAAAATGCCCCATATATCAAATGTGATACAAAAGAAATAGAAATAATCTAAATAATATGGCACCTCTATTCCTACAGTATATGTCCACAAGGTGCTGGGGCACCATGGTCAGCGGCAGCGGGGGGCGCACAAAGGCAAGCCAAGGGGGCCCGGTCCATGACCCCAAGGCGGTCCACTCCAAAAACCCTTTCCCGCGACCCGGTTCCAGATAAGTGGCGGAAAATAGATGGATGATTGATGGATGGATATTCCTATATGCCTGGACTGTCTGTCTATGCATATATGGCAAATAAAAAGTCATGAATCTTGAATTTTGAACCATGAATTATATTTTGGATTTTGTTGAAAGGTTTAATAAATATCAGTTCCGAAATATTAGAATGCTTTGGCTATTTTTTGATGTGTCAGGCTTTAAGGGTTAAGGACATGTGCTTGTATTTTTCTTGTTTGTAACATTCATACTTTTTCAACTATTTAGCATTTTTCAACAAATTTTTCCCCCATTCAAATGAATGGGAAACATTTTCACATCTTAATAAGTTCTGCATACCTTCAGCTAAAGACACCATTTCAACTGTTATCTATTCAGCAACTCTTCAGCTATTCATAATGTACACAGCTTTTTGCTATCTTTTACAGTTTTTGCATAGTTTATATTTTATACCTAATTTCCATAGCCACACCCTAGTAGTTCTCAGGGTGTAGGACTACTCTTTCATTTTCATACACACATATACACACAGACACACAAACACCTACACACCCACACCCACACACAACCCTACATGTTTTACCTACTTTTTTAATAAGTTCATCATACTTTCAGCTACAAAAGCCATTGAGGTATCAAAATGTTCAGCTTTGTAAGGACGTGTGCTTTTATTTTTCTACATTTTTCAACAAATCTTGCCCCATTTAAATGAATGGGAAAATTCTACTTAAGCATAATTTCAGCTATCAAAATGTTCAGCCCCTGTTGGACATCCATGGTTCTATTCAGAACTTTTCTAAAATTCATACCTTTGAAATATTTAGCTTCTAATTTATTGGAAAATTCTACTTCAGCATACTTTCGGCTATTTCAGGTATCAAAATTATCAGCTGCTCAAGGACATTCATGCTTAATAAATGGGGATATTCAAACTTCATATTTTAGACATATTTATTTTTATTTTGAAAATTTTTCCCCATTCAAATAAATGGGGATATTCAAATTCAGCATACTTTCGGCTCTTCAAGAACATTCATGCTTTACTTCAGGATTTTTGTGAACCTTGAAATATTTAGCTTTATTTTGAAACTTTTGCACCATTGAAATGAATAAAATAGCCAGAACATTCTATACTTTCGGCTCTTCAAGAACATTCATGCTTTACTTCAGGATTTTTGTGAACCTTGAAATATTTAGCTTCTAATTTATTGGAAAATTCTACTTCAGGTAATAAAATGTTCAGCTACTCAAGGACATTCATGCTTCCATTCAGGATTTTTCTAAACTTCATATTTTAGACATATTTATTTTTATTTTGAAAATTTTTCCCCATTCAAATAAATGGGGATATTCAAATTCAGCATACATTCAGCTATTTTAGGTATCAAAATTATCAGCTGTTCAAGGACATTCATGCTTCTATTCAGAATGTTTCTAAACTTCATACATAAATATTTAGCTTTATTTTGAAAGCTTCCTCTGATTTAAATGAATGGGAAAACTCTACTTCAGCATCTTTGACTCTGAGTTTTTTTATACACTTCACACTTCTGAAATATTTAGCTTTATTTTGAAAATCCCCCCCCCCAATTCAAATTAATGGGAAAATTGTACTTCAGCATACTTTCAGGCAGATATGCCTTTCCGGTGTCAAAGCATCCACACAATAAAAGCAAAGGCTCGATTAGAAGACTCTCACTTGATGGGTCTCTCATCTAATGACTTCACTTGACTAGCCCTAATTTTGTCATGCAAGAGGTTATGCAGTTTCACCTTAACCTTGTAAAGCCTGACACATCAAAAAATAGCCAGAACATTCTAATTTTTCGGAACTGAGATGTTTATTAAACCTTTTAACAAAATTCAAAATATAATTCATGATTCAAAATTCAAGATTCACTATTTTTATTTGCCGTATATGCATAGACAGTCCAGGCATAGAGGTGCCATATTATTTAGATTTCTATTTCTTTTGTATGACTTGATACATGGGGCATTTTTGGTGATTTTTTTTTTTTTTTTTTTTTTTTTTCAAAAACCGCCCGTTTAAAAAATGTTAAAAAAGTTATAGGGTTAATTGGCATTCTAAATGAACTCCATACACAACTGTTTTATTGTAATTGTAATCTTGTATTGTAATTACAGATGTGTTTGGATGCCAGCTCCTGTTCTGGACTCTGTTCTGATATTTAAGACCCTTAACCTGTAGACTGCTTAAAATAGTCATTATAAAGCTGATCAACAGCCCTGAAACATAGGCCAATAAGAGCAGCGGAGTACATGATAGCCTGCAGTTTTATCTCTAATAGAGTATTAATCCTCATCTGCACTCTCATGCATCAGACATTTTCCCCTGCATGTCATCTTGTATGTATGTTTTAACATTTCATTAACTTTTCTCATCCTCCTCCCCTCCATAATCTCTCTGTTCCTTCTTCACTTTTCTTGTCCTCCTTTACTTCCTTACTCACAACCTTGCACCTCTGCTGTCGAAGCTGTGGAGGAATCTATTCCAAACTCAAACCCTTTCCTCACGCTACCGGTTGTCGATGTTTTCCAACTGTCCACATCCTCCTCGGACCCTGGCAGTCTGTCCTCTAGGACACCTAGCCATGAAGTGTTTGGTGGGATTGCTTTGCTGCATCTTGCTTTTACAATCCAGACTTCATTATGTTAATTTGTCATACTGATATCTGATGTCTCATAATGTCATCCTGGTTTATAATTTACTGTAAGTAACTTTACTGTGTGGTTTTTAAAGGGAATTCATAGAAGTACTGTATATTTCAGACAATAGGGAATGAAATAGAGGAAATGCCTGAAGTGGTTTATGTTGCCGGTCAGAACGTACTGTAGTTTCTTGACATTCTTCTCATATTCATCAGATATTCTGGCATGCTGCCCTACCTCAAATATTTGTTTCCTTCCATTATCAGCACTATTGGGCTAAGGTACTAATATTTATTTTCTCCATTCAGACCATTTAATCTTTATTTGCTTTGTGTCAGGTTGTGTGTGTTGGGGGCAATGTATGAATGTCCATCTATATCGGGTCCCTTTTTTGACTTGGGCTCTTTGCTGGCATTGTATTTTGATGCTTCTGCACAGACATTTATTACAGGTGCTATGGTGGGCACAAGTCTTCCAGCTAGACATGAGATTTGTAATGTGTTGTGTAACATTTGTGAATTGTCATGAGTTGAGATGGATTGACGTGGGGGGGGGGGGGCCTTTTTTTTTTTTTTTTTTGAGGGTTTCACAGAAAG